GATGTAGTCTGAATCTATTTGTGAAAATCAATGTTGTCAAATATCATATTTTACATTAACTTGGAGAAAAGTTTGCCTACAGAACACCCAAATAATGAGATTGTTTTCTTCAGGTGATGTAGAATCAGGTGTCGAAATAGGATGTGCTTTGTGCTGTGTATAATGTTGAAGAAAAGATAATGCTGAATGACAGTGAAACAAGATTGCTCTGGGGACAGAAAACCAGATTTCGAGACCTTCACCTTCGGATATCTAAAAATGCAGCACAGGTTGCAAATGACTGAAAATCCTTAGCTTCTGGCAGCAGCCTGGTGCTCTGTGCTAAAGAGCTGGTGGTCACAGTCCAAGTCCCTGCAGCAAGGAGTTCACGTTGTACATGGCGCTATCTGGCGAATCTTTGTGGCAGTCCAAAACGAGGGGCAGGAGCTGACTTGGCACAGCAGCCCGTGCTTTCCCTCATCTCAGAAATGTTCTCCCTAGATAAGGGCTGAGGCACACGTGTGGGTCGAGAAAAGTCCCCACCCCTCTTGCTCTACCAGCTCTCCGTGAATTAACAAAGGACTTCGTTTTCAAGGTCTATCAGGTTTTGCAGTTATTATTTTTTCAGAAGGGCTAAACTTAGAGTGAAGAGTTGGAGGCCCATCTGGTGCAAATCGGTGGGGGCTTTGCAGGCTTCAGCAGGGCTATGCTGATTTACACCAGATGATGCTGTTAGAGAACTGAACTACCCAACAATAATTATTAAAAAATGTCTTTGATTATGCATGTGCAACAACTATTTATGTTTACATTGCGGAGATTTGCATGTAGCACAGTGGGGAGTATTTTATCTCTTCAAAACATTGCACCAGCATAAATAATCCTCTGACATTCAAATGAGCAAAGAAATACCCGCTTCCTACCACAAGATGGACCATAAAGGTTTTTCTTTGTGCATCTTTTCCAAACAGATTTGTCAATAATCCTCAAATGCGAAGTTCATTCTAGAGAAAAATATGTGGGAAAAGCAAAGAAAAAGAGAGATGTTCTTTTCTTGGTGGCTGTATTATGGACTGCAGGAGGGCTGAGATGCAGCCAGATCACCCTGCACCTGAGAGAGAAGGAGATGGGGGAACCAGGGGAAAGCAGGGCATAGAAATGCTGTATAAAAACCATCTCTGTACCTCATTCAAGACTGTGTTCAAAGCAAAAAGTCAAGGAATAGGAGCCAGCTGAAATTCAGATTGAATGGTTGAAGCGACTGGACACAAAGCCTATCAAAGGCAAAGATGAGATAACTGTGTGAAAACTGGGAGACGTCCCGTTTCAGCCCCAGCCTGGAGCAGCACAACAGAAGTCACCACCAGGGGAATTACACTGACATTTAAACTTTCAAAACAGAAATTGCTTAAAATATGCAGTAATCTGTTGTACCTTTAACTCACAAGAGGAAAGGAGGTTGAAAGCATGGGTAATATTCCTTTGATTCTGGAACAACATACAAGGGTCTCCTGATTTGACTTCTATGGTGCTTTTGTTTTCTATTTGCTAATTGTGATTTGGAGATTCTCAGAAGGCACTGAGCTTCCCAAGTGGGGCATGTTGCCTTACTCTGAATATTGCCTTCCTGCTCCGATGTGGCAGAACAGCCACAAGGACATCTCATCTCATTGTACATCCTTGGAGCTCAGATCTCTCTGGGAGGCTGCTACTTTGTATTCATATCCAAAAGACCTCATTGCCTTGGAGCAGACGCTGCTTTGGCCCAAGGTGTTGAGGCATGAGCGCAAGCAGGCACAGTGATGAAGCTCAGATTGAAAGACCTAAAAACTCTATGCTCTCAGTTCTTTCTTCTGCTGAAATATGGAAGGGGAAAAAAAACCCACACACATAAAGGTATTCCTCACTTCTAAAAGAGATAGATTTTGCCCCATATGAGAAACCAGACAGCATTGAACTCAGCTGGGTGGTACACGAGGACTTGGTCTATTGCCCCACACAGATCACTTGGCCTCCTCCTCCCTGTCAATGGAATGAGGGTGCAATAGTGACAAGGTGCCTCTTGGGAGCACTCTGAATGGATATATATATTTTTTTATTTTAAATTTAGCTCTTTAAAAATTGTATGTGTCACATAAACGGTCAAGTTATTAAACCGAATTTAATTGGCAAGGGCTTGAGAAAATTTTCTCTCCTAAGGTGATATCTTTGAACAGGTGAAGGAGGTGGTGCGCCTGGCCCTGTTATGAGGATGCCATTCTGTGTGACATAAAATAAGAGCAGGGAAAGGAGAGCCCACTCAAACCACCAAGTCACTAAAGGGGAAAGTATGTAAGGCATCCACTCAGCATCAGAGAGGGACAGAAACCTGCAATTTCTGAAATCAACAGGGTGAAAGCAAGCTTCTCTAAAAGTGCTGGCTGTTGCATTGATGAGAGAAGAGAACAGGCCTGTGTTCTGACAGAGAAATTCAGCATGGGGAGCACAGCTCAGCTCAGAGCACGTGAGCACCAATCTGATAGGACAGATCTGCACTTCTGTGTCTTTATGGATTTGTTTTTCCCTAAAAGCAGCTCTCTCCATTTTTATGCCTCTTTGGAGGAAAAAAAAAAATAAGCTACGGTTTTTAAAACCCAGACTCTAATCCTGGCAAAGCAGCCAAACCTCCAGGCACTCAGCTCACCAGAATTTCAGTACGGGAGGAATCTGTCACTTCATCACTGCAACATGGGGCCAAATTCTCAAAGATGTCCCTGCAACGAGACTCAGAAATCTGCTACTAAGCCATCAGGGGATTTGCGTTCACGGTTTGGGTTTCCAACATGACAATAGGAAGTTTAACTCCAAATGCCACTGCACTGCACACGTGCAAGAAAAAAACAGAGTCAGAAAAGCCTCTTTTCATTTTCTGGGACAAGCATGAGTAAACTAAAGTGACAACTGTACTTTTGCTTTGCGTTCAGACTCCCTTTGATTTTAATGACAGCTTGGACACCCAGAAGCTGTGTTCATATAGAGAAAGATCATCAGAAGTAAAAAGAAGGGAGAAAAAAAAAAGAGAGAGAGAAAAAGAAATCTCACACACAAAAGTTTCAAAACTTCCCTAGTTTTGAAATTAATGAATGTTGAACACTGAAGCCACTCAGTGCGTATTCATTTAATACTCCTGAAACTTTCTGTGTTAGCGAGTGTAAAGCTATCTCCAGACCCTTACAGGGGCCACATCTTACACACGAGATGAATCATTCTGACAGCACAAGGCCAGCCTGCTCCTTCTGCAGGGCAGGCAAAGGTACCGCCAGGTCACTGCTGCTTGCTGTGCGAGCAGAGGTGCTGAGGGGCTCTGCACTGCACGAGGCTGCATAGGACACGATGGAATTGGACAGGTGCAATGCAGTTTTAGGCTGATCTTCCCTAATAGCACCAGATAGATTGGGCTTTTAAATCTGATGCTTGCTGTTCTCTTGGTTTTACTCCCCATCTGGATAAACGTTTGTCTTTCTAACTTTATTGTTAACAGGTTTGTCATAATTTTGCTTATTCTGTTGTTTGCACATTTCTAATTTGGTAGTAATGTTATTATTGTTGTTAACATTTGCATCTAATACGTCACTGCCACGAACCACATTGTGCTTTTTCAAGTAGCAGCATCAGAGTTACTGTGTCACCCACTAGAGAAGTTTGGGATGACCCGAGAGAGACATACAGCAGATGATTCACTTAAATGCATTTCCTGTGTTGTCATGTTCATGCAGTCCTAAAACATAGTGTACAATCAGAAGAGGCAGAACCTCGATTGAGTAAAGTACATCTGCCAGAATTTAATGTAGGATTTTGGGACTGTTCTCTGTCATCTGCCACTTGAATTGCAATCATGCAGTTACTTGCCTGCTTACAGGTATATAATACTAAAATGCTATAATGTGACAAAAAGTACAGCAGTAATGGCAGGGTGACACAATCCTAGGCTGCAGCAAATGAGGACAAGCCCAGATGCAACAGCCATGGATACAGAAACAAAAGCAGAAAACCTGCTTACCTTTGGAAGGCCTCAGTTACACAGGGATCTCCAGGAAGATCCCCTCACCTCCATGCCAGCCCTTAAATGAGGGCTGGATCCCAGCTCCACCCCTTCTCATCACTCAGGTGCACTGCATTGCATGCACCTGAGCTCCCCCAGGTTGGCCCTACCTTCCCACCAGGTGCTCAATCACTGCCTCAGGCCATGACTTGCATTTCTGCTACAAAGTAATTCAATATTTTCTTGCACATGAATTTGTTATATACTTTTTCTGTGGTACGTAACAAAGTACAAGTAGAAGAGCTGTAAAAACTCATCAGCCTGGAGTTTTCTTTCTTCTTCGCTTTATTCTCCTAACTTCCTAACACCTAATAAATTAATGCTTAGAAAACCCATGTATGATGCAGAGAGACAACGCATTCAAGCAACTCATTTTGCTTTCTTTATCTCTCAGTGAATGCCTTCACAGCCATGCAATGCCATTATCCTCACACAAGGATCTCTGCCTCCAAGGTTTTGACCAGAAAGTCTTATCTAGATTTGAGAAGTCTTAAAGTTTAACTGAAACTGATGTAATTTATTTCCAGACATTTGTATTTTCCAGTGGAAGGAATATATTCACAAGTGGGATTGAACCCAGTGCTTTGGCTGGAGCTAAAGTGCTAAAAAGTCTCCAGATCTCCTCTGGCAACAGTTCATTAGGGCTGTGGATAGATGAGCTGACTGTGACCTCATTCCTCTCCCAGGACCAGCAGTGTGAGAGGGCAGAGCCCAACATGAAATGGGGAACAGCCAGGGCTCCTCAGCAAGAGCAAGCTGACACTCTGACTAATTTGCAGTTATCATTTGCTTCCCAGGTTATCTTCTCTAACACACAATTTGATGGCATCCTTAGTATTTTTCCCCCCATCTCTGGAGAAAAATGAAGAACTGCAGACTCCATTGTTTCCCACAGTTCTAAGATCAGCAATAAATGCACAGCACCGTTTTCTTACCCAAAAGCATTTTAATTTTTTGACAAATTCCATATCACAAATGCTATTTAAAAAAAAAAAAACATTGTTACTGGGATGGTGAAATGCTAATAAAACATTCCTTGAACAAAACAACCCTAATGTGCAGGCATGTGAGCAGAGTGATCAAAGTTTTCAGTGTCTCTTCTTCATACCCATTTCTTGAGCAACCCAGAACACCAATGGCAGTGAGCCAAAGACATTGGTCACTGCAAACACATTGCTGAAGTGATGCCAGCTGAGTTCCACTGTCCTCCCTCACCTCAGGCAGATCTTTGGCACAGCCCAACACCACAAAGCCAGCTGGAGAGGAGCATACCCATCCCAAATATTTGCACCAGTGATACTGAAGGTGTCTGGGAGCTTGCTGGGTCAGCATGGCAGAGCAGCCCTGTGGAACTCAATTGAATGACATTGCAGTGCACACAGCAAGGCTCACCTGGCTCCACCAGACCCCACACCCCCAAATGGTGGCACCAGGTGCTGCAAAGCCACTGTAGTGAATCCTGTGCCATCTGCCCTTCTGGCTGTGAACACAGACTCCTGGACATGCCAGCCAGTCATGGCTGCCAGAGTAATCCCTGGGCAACAGCTTGTGTGAGGGACAGGACCATGTCCAGATGGCCCTGGATTTTGAGGAACTGCACTGAGAGAACAAAACTGAGCTCACCCCTCCCACATCAACAGTGAGGGAGGAGCTCTTTCTGCTCCATATTGCCCACACCTTGTCACCTGCCATCCCTGACAACCCCACTGCTGACAATGCCACCCCATCACTCAGGAGAGCTGGCAGTCATCCTCCTCCCCCCCAAATGGTACTGCCTCTCACCTCTCCTCTACTGCCCACCCAAGGTCCCACTCACTCTGCTGCTGGCCCCTTCTCCCTTCTGTGTCTCTTTCCTCACTGCAGCCTCCCATCTGTCATCCAGACCAAGCCCAAGCATCAAATCACTTCTCTCAGCACACTGTGCCCTTCTTCCAGACATCTTCTTCTTGACATTGCCTTTTTCTTCCATCCTACAGTAAGGTCACACTTCTTAACCTCCCTTTCCAGATGCTCATGTGCCTTTTTTCATGCCATTCTTCCTTACAGTATCCCAGTTTCTTTTTTACCAACAGCGCCAGTTTGGATCCTCTGTTCAGCCACCTCTTCTACTGCAGTCTTTGTCCTCCAGTGCTGGCACCCACTCCTCACAGCACTCTGGTGGCTTACAGTCCTACCCTGTAGGAAGCGTTTCTGAAGTGGGAACTTAAAGATCATAGCAAACAGGTTAAATGTAGCAGCCAATCTATGACATAAGTTGTTTAAAGTTAAATGGACACCCAATATAAAGTATGTAACAATGTTATGACAGTGACCATTCTTCTCTGCGCCAGAATGAGTTTATCCTATAAGTTTTTTCCCTTTAAGGAGCTCTTGCTGTGATGTTGGATGGACACCTTTTAACAAGGCATAGGTTATTGCACAAAAGCAGCACCCAAGCAAAAAAAAAAAAAAAAAAAAAAAGCTTTTCTATTTACTAGGATTTGTTGTTAATGGGGATATATTTACTGGTAAGACTAAGGAGATTGGATCGCTCTTCCCTCACCACCTAACAAAACATGGTTTCCCAAGAGAAGAAATACAAGCTTGTAGAGACCTCATCTTTATAATAATACTACTGAGGCCCATTTGTGAAGAAAACCTGCTCTATGCTGCAAAACCAGCTCTTCTCACTAATTGATCTCTTTGCTCCAGAAAATATAAGTATTTCTTTTTGACTCTTTTGTCTGCCCCAGGCACAACATGAGCCCATTCTTATCTCCCTCCCCTTCTCACCAGTCTCCTCTGTATCATCAGTGACCACTGATAATCACATGTCAGGAAGCACCTTGACCCTCATCCCAGCAGTGCGAATAGGTGAGGTGCACAAAATGTTCATCAGCTCAGTTTGCCAGTTTGCCTGGAGTCGGGTCTTGTTGATTGGATTACATCTGAACAGCACTCTAGCTACCTTAATACCAGGAAGTTCAGCAGAGCCCCTGCAATTGCCACCTCATGCCTATCATTTGAGGAACACTGAGGCTTTATTTCTCCTGCTATGAAATAATGACTAACCAGAGCACTGAACTCTGATAGGCAAAAACTCATCAAGTATTTGCAAGTGTTCTGCCATTTGTCCCTCTGTGCTCACTAGAGTTGTTAGCACTGAGCTGAGACTAAGGAGGAAAAGCCCCCACACAGCAGCTGGGCCTACAGCCCAGACTAAGAAGCATAGAGAAGGGTCATGGAAATCACCCTGAAGTTGTTCCCCACGGCTGTAGGAAGGGACCAATTTTGCTTTACCCAGTTGTGATCCCCAGAAAGGCAGATAAACCCCATTCTGCTTTTCTGTGTGTGTACTTAGAAGGAGTCACATTCAGACCACAAACAGAAAACAAGCAAGAGCCAGATATAATTATTTCTTACCAGGATTTAAGGATCTGAGATTTTAGGGTCCTGAGCAACACAAAAGCTTCAGAAGTAAATAGACAGATTCTGAAAAAGCTCTGAAAGAGACCAAGGAAATGTTAACACTTTAACAGTTAAATCAGCTTTCCTTATTCTATATAGGACTGCAGTCCCCAATCTGTAGTCCTCTGTGGTTTTCTATAGCAAAGGAACCTCTTTAAGAAGTTGAAATTGAGGCTGGCAGGCAGCACAAAATAAAACATAGCTTGCAGCACATGACTGGTGTGAGTGCTGCACTCATGACCCTAGTAGGCAGAGGGCTCCTCCAGCTCCTTCCCCTCACCCCAAGCAGCAGATTTCAGCCCTCAGCCAGGACAGACCTTGTGCTCTGCAAGGCCATTTCCAAGGGACCAGAAACGGTGACACCAGCAGATGGTTCTGTGGCCAAGGAGAAAAATAACAGGGGGTGAAAAAACAATAAATAAAGTGAAACATATTGAAAAACTGCATCTTCGTGGATGGAAATGGAAAGCATAGCAATGACAGCAGAGCAGCAAGGTCCCAAGATACAGCAAGTGAGGATCTGCTCAAAATCTACAGCCATGAGCACAGAAAAGAGAGGGGGAAGGAAGAGGAGGAAGAAGAACAAAAAAAAAACTTACCTTCTAAAGACCACAGTTTTGCAAAGACCTCCTACAACAGACCCACACCTCCACTTCCAGCCCTTAAATGAGGTCTGGGAAGGGGTGGATCCTGGCTGCACCCCTTCATCACTCAGCTGCATTGCATTGCATTGCATTGCATTGCACCGCACCTGTGCTCCACTGGGTTGGCCCTGCCTTCCTACCAGGTGCTCAATCACTGCTTCAGGCCTTGACTTACCATTTCTGCTCCAATCCTCCAGGAAGAAATTCATTTACCTCTTCGTTTTAGTTCCCTTGTTAAGGGGAGCCCAGTCAGGATGAAGCCCAAAGAGTATCCAAAGAGTAAGTCTTGTAACGGTGTAGAAACACCCAGACTGGATTGAGTGCTCCAGTACTTAGACTCAGTGATCCTTATGGATCATTCATGAACTCTCCCAGCTTGGGATATTCAATGGTTCTGTGATACTGCAGAATGCAGTTTATAGATGAGTTTATAGATGAAAAATCCATTTAGCAAACCTACTCTTTGTCTTGTTACGTTTAAATGTAATCAAGATACCACTGTTAGTAATACATCCTCTGTGTTTCATGGGGCACACAGAGAAAGATTGGAGCAGAGGGCAAAGCTGAGTGCCTCGGGAAGATGTGTGCATCTGGGTGGTCATGCATGGAGCAAAGAGAAACCAGTTCTACAAATGTACCGGGAGATCATCTTCCTTCTCTTGGCCAGAGCTGGAGTTAATGTGTAAAAGCAGAGCTGGCTCCACCTGACACAGACTGGGCAAAGCAGTTATTCCCAATGAAATCCATGACCATTGCAGACTGGAAAGCAATACACGGACATTCTTCTCTCCCCTTGCTTCACATTTCACCTTCTTTCCTTTTGGATGATCCTATTAAAAGCAGAAGATATTTCACGTACATTAGGTGCTCAGCTGGCATAAGCTGGACTTTGGAAAGTTATTGTAATTTATACACCCTCAGGATCTAGCTGTAAGCTCTTCATAAAGCAGTCAAGCCCATGCCTTGTAGAAATTTGCTCTCTGAATGAATCCAGATCATTTTAGCACAGGATACCTTTTGATGCTTGAAAATCTGGCCGAAGAGCCGTCAGCAAAGGGAAATAATGGGAGGAACAAATTATCAAATTATCAAATTTGGGACAGGTGTCCCCCAAAGAGAGGCTGGGCTGCCTGTGACCTTCCTTTGAAAGGCTCATTTTGTGCACCTCCCGTACGACCAGTTCTGTTACACATTAATAGTCTCTTTCCATAGCAACACCTGACCCTTCCCTCCCCTTGCTGTGATTATACATACATATATACAGATATATACAGATATATTTTCCCTGCCTGGGGAAAGGATGGACAGCTGACAATTTTCTGTGGCATCAGCACAATTTAATGAAAGGAAGGCTTTTCAAACAGCAAGAGAGCTGGAATGCTTCTTTAAAAAGAGAAATATGGGGAGTCGTGGGATCCACAACTGTGTCAACAGCACAACAAGCTGTTATCTGTCGCTTCAACCTGGCTCCTGCTTCCAGAAGACTGTACAGTAACAAGTACTGAATAAATGTGGGTGACAGCACTTTGGAAATGGGCCACTGCCAGTGCAGCTGCAGGGGATGAGAGGTGCAGGAAAGAGCTCTGGGCTGGGAAAGGCGATGGTCCACTCTGAGGTAACAGTTCTCTCACAGACAATGCGTTAATGTTGGTCTGCAAGAGCCTGGCTAAAGTCCCAGCCCCACTCCTACCATTGCTGGTTACTGCTTTTTGAATTTGAAAAAGGTGTTTTGTGTTTGAAAAATCTTTCACGGCATTGTTCAACCCGTGGTATGTAAAGAAGGTTGGGCACAGCTCAGCCCCCTGACACCTCCTGCAAGAAGAGAGTACAAAGACAACAGAGTTGTACCCAGGAGGAAAGCAGTGCCCAGCAGTGGAGCACATAGAGGCTGGAGAGCAATTCCTTCCAGAAAATATACCATGTTTACGGGAAAGCAGAAGTTTGGACAAATACAGAAGCAAGAATTAAAGCTGTGCACAAAGCAAATCTGTAACCAAAGGGGAAAAATGTGATCAGGTCCAAAAACACACCATCGAGCCACTCGGAGTCAAGAAAAGAGCTGCTATTAAAAATCCCTTGGAACAAGGGATAGCATCTCTTGATAAAGCAGGTAACACACGTGAGTGCCACCCAGCACTGGGCCACAGATTGGTTCCACGATGCTGGAATGTTGGGGTGAGAAGAGCAGGTCCTGTAGGTTGGTCCAATATGGTTGGTTTCAGGCTGGAGATGCATTTGGAGGAGTTGAATCCTATAGGACAAACTCGGGGTAAAAGCAGATTCCCTGATTGTGTTAACAGAGAAACAAAACAGACTTTTTGCACTGATAGAGCTGCTGAATTATAAAACAATAGCTTGCACAGAAAGACACCTTTGTATCTAGGAAATCCAGCACAGGATGGATCCGCAGCCTAGAGATAAGGGAGCGGGCAGGTAAATTGAAGGCTGGCAATGACCCAGCACTGCAAAAGAGAGCACTGGAAAGCATCAAGTGTGTGCTACTGATACTCAGCGCTCTGATGTGAAGAAAAGGTATTATCCAGGGGAAAACAATCATTCATAGGGGCCAAGAGATTAGGGAGCATGTTTGTTCCAACTGCGAGGAGCAGGAGGCAGCCTCCCAACATACCCAAAGATGTTAGCATCTCTCATTAGAGCTTATGATTTTCTTCTCCTTTTCCTCTCCCCGATGAAATAGATATTCCAGTTTGTTGTGCCTGAAACATTTTGATTCATCCCCAAAGATCCACAGTGAGGATAAAGCTCGGGGGGCCATCAGTTCGGGATCCCTGGGTTCACAGCCCTGCAGCAACGCCGCCAGAGAGGCTGAAACAAAGCAGGGTTGAAATTCCCAATTTGTTAACCTTATGGACCCTCTGAGGTTGCTTACAGCCATAAGAGTGAAAAAGGATGGAGAAGGAGGAGGGGAAAAAAAAAAAAAAAAAAAAAAAAAAAAGGCAGTGCATTCCTTGCTTGATATTATTATCCTTGGACCAGCCTGGGCTGGGGACCACTGGGGCAGAACAAAGAGCCAATGCAGACATCGGCGTGCTCAGACGGAGGGTCCCACTTGCTGAATGAGCCAAAAACTTTTGACTTTTTAATCCCAACCTCAGTCAGAAGGTTATTAGACCAATGACCGCTGGGCCTAAACCAACAGCCAGCCCCTGGCTGACGATTCCTCCCGATTATGCTAATAAAACCCAGGACTGCTTTGAAGCCAAAGGATGTTTCTGCTCTCACCGTCCACTGAGAACCACATGTGACGCTCCCTGAGCGTGGTTCCTCCGGCATTCTTGTGCATCACCGATGAAATATGGTCCCACTAAAGTCAGAGGCAAATTGTGTTCAGCTGTGTTTCAGCAGTGCAAATACGCTCACATGTAGGTGTAAAAAAAGCTGCTTCCAATACAAAATAAGAAATTCTCAGGCAAAGGCAGCTTCTTTAAATAAACCTGAAGGGGAAAAGGCAGCAGGGATCTGTTAGCAGGAAAGTTTGAAGCAGTTAAGCTCTCACTGGAGGGCTGTATCCTTCCTCTGTATTCACACCAAGCTCTGAACCCTGAGGCTGAGTTAAGGGTTCATTTCTAGAAAGATATCCAAACCTGATGGTAAAGATTGAGATGACAACAAACTCACCGAATCCTTTGAAATAACAGTTCAAGATAGATTCTGCAGCTTTAAAATGCTGTTTAATTTTGACATTTTATGAATAAGATGCTAAAAACCCAAGAGGTCAAATTCTGGTCCCAGGGTATGGCTGCAGCTCCGGTCCATCCCCACACAAACCCAGCACAGGTTTGGTTATGTTCTGCCTTTGCACCAAGATGTGAATCACTGTCTGGAGATATAAGGCAGGAGAGCAGGAGTGGTCCCCAAATAAACCCCCTAACAGGCAAAGTTCTTTTCCATTTCTTTAAGTTACCATCTTTTTTTGATACAACTAATTGTACTGGAAACAGCATAGTGTTGCCCACGGGAACTTGGGCTTCTTGGGCTTCACCTGAAGTTGCTTTATTTCCTCCTGCAGAAGAGTGTGCCCAGATTGCCTTTAGCCCATTCAAACACCCAAAGGTTTAACCAGAATGCGACTTTAATTTTCTTTACCATTTCATACCCCTCTTCTTTTACGAAGAATCCCATCTGTTTCAGGGCACGCTGAAGCGCTGGGTGGGGGGCAGAGGCTCGCAGGGTCAGCCCCGAAGGTTCGCTAAACCCCGAATCGACGGCAAAATAAATCGCTGCCCCGTTCCGGCTGTGCGCATTCGGGACGCCGGGCTGAAAACCGCCCTCTCGGCGCCGCGCATTCCCTGCTCTCCTCCGCGCCCCTCCGCGCAGCCGGAGCCGCGTCCGCGCAAACCCCGCGGGTGGAGGGAAACGGCGGTGAAAAGCACCGATATGGGGAGAGCAAAAATCGCCCAGAGGGCGCGGGTGCGATGCGGGAGTGGCTGCGTGAGATCCGCGGGTGCGCGGGATCCGCGGGTTTGGGGCCTGAGCCCGGGGCCCACCCGGAGCTCCGGCACGGCCTGAGAGCTCAATTAGCATTATCTTGATGAATTTATAGGCAGCGAGTCCTTGCTGTGCCTTTCAGAAGTCGCAGGGCATTCTGTCCCCATCTGTTCCTTCATGATTATTAGTTTCTTTTTCTTCTTCTTCTTCTTCATTTTTTTTTTTAATTTTATTTAATAGTAATCGTTGACCTAATATATATGGCTGGGGGAGAGGGGGAAGATGAGACCCCTACAACGTCAATCAAAACTCTTCCTGAAGCCCTCCCCACATGGACGCTTTCTGTCTCCCAGCGGTACCGGCAAGATGTTCTTAGACAAATACATGATTCTATTAATGAGCACTTATATTTGCTAAGGAATGCAAATTCTTTCTCTCCGTGTATTATTAGCCGTATCAGAATGTTTGTCCTTTCAGTCCTCTTTGAAGTTGAAGGAGGAAAGGCTGTTATGTGGCACTGAGAAGAAAAAAAAAAGAGAGGGGGGGGGGGGGCAAACACTTCTAACTCCTCCGGGTTTTTATTTGTTCTCTTGCC